AAAAAAAAAAAAAAAAACTAAACACTTTCTTAAAGTATTTGTCTTTTTGAAAAGATGTTTGAAGTGATTTTCAACTGCCCCCTTTTTTTCATTTTCATTTTTCAAGTCCAAAGTACTCCCTTGGTTGCCACTACATTACATATTTACATATTTATGACTGCGATTCTGCCGTCGCGTGATTCATAAAGTTTTTACATGGAGAATTAGAAGGGAATGAAGAATGTTTTCAAATAATTGATAAAAATTAAAATTTTCATCAATTAAACAAAAGTATTATAATTTAAGGATGAATCTTTTTAAATTCATTTAATTTGATAATTAAAAATAATTAATAATGAATAAAATAATTAATATTTATTATTTAATAAATTAAAATTAATTTATAAATTAATATTTTAAATATTATAATTAATTATTTAAAAAATAATAAAATAATAATCAAGTTAAATATTTTCATATATTTTTCACAAAATAATGACTATTCATAACCATATTCATATTTATTTATTCATATAATTAATTTTCTGATCATTTCTAGAAGTAACTTTGGTATATTTTAATGAAATTTTTCTTCTATAATTTCAACTGCTTTAAATTATAGAATAAGAATTGTTTAATTAAAATAGCTTTCAATATCCACTGTCTTGATTTTATTTAATTATATAAGTTGTACAATTTGAATTGTATAATAATTTTGTTGTATTTGTATATAATATATTAGTGATAATTGAAATTTTTTGTTTTAATATATAATTTTTGTTGAATAATTTTATATGATCTAAAATTTTTTTAATTATTATTTATATGTAAAATGTTAGTGTTTATCAAACAAATTTAAAAAAAAATTAAACAAAAAAATTAATACTGCATTATTTTAATAAAATAGTAAGATAAAAAAACTAAAATATTTTCATTTTTATTACTTTAAAAACAAAGATATTTTAATCTTTTTAATATAAATTTATTAAAATATAATATAATTTTAAAATATTTTTTTTTAATTTTTTACATATACAACTAATAAACAATATTTTTAACCATATATTATGTACAACAAATAGCTTTAAAAAAAAAATTACAAACAAGTAGTTTATTATATTTGCGTGCAGCAAATATATATGTAATGTATAATATATTGAGAGTAGAATCATCGGGTGGTAGAGTGTAGTAATTGTTTTTTTTTTTTTTTTGTTTAACTAAGAGAAATTTTAGACAAAAAGTTATAATTATTTTCTTAAATATTTAAATTTTAATAAAATATTTAAAACACATTACCATCTATAAAAAATGACTAGAGCATGAGAGTAGTAGTTCATAAAACCATGGTATTGGTAGGGGTGGGTAAATATCAGTTTCAATATCTACCGAAACTGATATTTTGGTATCTGAAAATTTTCGGTATTCATTTTCAAGGTTAATACCAATACCAAAATTGTCTCATTTTCTTGGTTTCGGGTACCAAAATTTTTGGTTTTCATTTTTTGTTTTTCGGTTTTCATTTTTTGTTTTTCGGTTTTCACCGAATGTTAACAAGCTTATCTCTAACTCAGCCAAAATTTGGCAGTTTTGCTTGAAAATATAACATGAATCATTCTAAAATGTTGAAAATATACTTGTTATGTAATTGAGTTTTTAATTTCAAATACATTAGATCCATACCACGAATGAACAAACTAATTAGCACAAATTTATGCAAATTTCAAGCATTCAAATTTTAATAAATATTAATAAGCAATTAAACATCACTACTTCAATAGCATAATTTAGGCTTTTTAGTAATATTATAATAAATATTATAAATTTAAACTTGATTTAGGTGTTTAAATTAGATGACTATAAATTTTAAAAATTTCTTGATTTATAGTTTTTAATGAAATCCTAAACAAAAACAATTATCCTAATTTGAGAATATTTTACTTGTTTGAGCTTGAATGTAGATATTGAATGTATCCTTGTAATAGTCTCAAAGCTAGAATTTAAAAGTGTAATCAAAGAAGAAAGGATCGTGATTCATGAACTTGAAATCAAATCTTGAACCAAGATTAGGTTTTGGGTTTCTAATATTAGTATATCACAATTGGAAAAGGGAAGAAAAAGGTTATGACCACTGCCAGGCGATGGTTGTCATAAGCAGAGAAGATGAGAAAGGAGATAAAGGGTAAAAAAAAAGGAGGATTGATTTTCAAGAGAATGAGAAAAATTGATAAAAATCCATCAAAGATTAGGCAAGAATGGAGGGAAAATTATCTTTGGAGTTGTAGCTTTGGGAGGGAAATTGATTTTTGGGGTGGGTGTTTTGGAAGGGTCTTTTCCAGAAAAAGGGGAAGTGAAAATGAGGAAGGCGGAGGCGGTACAGCGATTACCACATTGTTACTACCTGCTCCTGCCATTTAAGGTTTTTTATGTTTTATTTTTTTGGGCCAAAAGATTTGGCCTCAAGACTTGGGCCTTAATTCGGTTAGTCAAGAGGCTCTATTCAGTTTTTGGTTATTAAGCCTCTTGGTCAATACCAAACCAAAAACCCATCGGTTTTTTACCAAAACTAATTCTTTCAAACTAAATCCATTTTTTTGGTTCGGAATGGTTAACCAACCGAATGCCCACCCCTCGAATTGGTAAGGTTAAATCTCTGGTTCAATCCCTCAACTTTCATTTTTGAACTAAATTTACCCTTGAACTTCAAAAAGTACTAAAAAATCCCTAAACTTCAATTCTTGGGACCAATTTTGTCCTTTTGTCAATTAAGTGTTGATGTGGTGAAATTTTCTGTTAAGAAATTCAATTTCTATTAATATTGAATATTACCTAGAAATAAAATAAGTGATATGGTATCTTTTAATTATAAAAATATTATGACATGACAACATGAATATAATTTAATAAATAAAAATTTCTTTCCTTT